TGGCAATATCATTTTCGACAGGCATGTTATTGTAACGCATTCTCTGCTGTAACACTTCGTCAGCATTTTGGTTTCTCTGGACTATTATCCTTCTTGGTTCCTGTCGAATAGGCTCTTCTACATTAGGCTGTTCGACCATCACCTCTTGCCCCCTGGGATTTTCCTGAGGGTTCCCTAAGGGCCTTTGGTTTATAGTGAGTTCCTCTTCGACAGCCCTATTGGCAGGATTCTGGTTTAATTGCATTCTTTGTTGTGCTTGTGGGACTCCAAAAAAATCAGCAATGCGTGCCATCTGTTCTGCCAATATTTGGTTTGTTTGGGTAGTGTTTTGTATTAAGGGATTGAACACGTCTCCCATTTGTTGTGTCAAAGCCTGCACCATATCATGATTGCTTTCATCCATCTGTTGACGGATTACTTGTGCAGAATGGTTTGTCATAGCGGGCATATGGAAACCTGGTGGAATTTGATTCATTCTATTTCCATTTCCACCATATCCTGATCCTTGCAATGGTGATGACACTTGAACCATGGCATCAGAGAATAATGGTGACGAATTATGTAGGCTTGCCATCATTGAAGTTGGCATTCCGTACGGTTGTTCTCTCCCAGTCAAAGGCTGAGAATAATTCAGATATGGCCTGAATGTATTTCCTCCAGGGGGAGGGGTTCCCAAGGGTCTGGCGTGTCCCATGGTGGAAGAACTAGGCGCATTCTGGGATCCTGAACCCGTTGGTATGGAATCCCCCAAAGGAGGCCTAATCTGTTCTAAAACAGGGCCAGACACTGGTATTGTTCCTGACGAAGGGATAGGATTGGAAACTGGAATGGTTTCGTCAGAAATATTTGAAGCATTTGGCAAGTTAGCCATGTTTCTTCTTCTTGTTCTCTTTGGTCTCTCTACGTCGGTTACGGCTAATTTACCGCTTCTAAGAATCATACAACGTAGCAAGGAACAATTTGTCTAAAAATTTCTATTAGATTTTATCAAATGCACTGGTCCCACCGGGCGTGCCAATTTGTTCGCTGTGTTTTCTGGCGAACAACCTCTGGTTAACCAATTTCTTCAGAAAGTTGGGTTACTTGCAGGACCAACCATACAAGTCCTGGGATACATGTGCATTTGGTTCTGTCGAAATACTCTTAGACTTTTGGTGACTAATTTGCGGTTTGTTTTATCAATATTGTCAAAGTATTAAGGACTTTGATTTTGCAAGTAACGAAAGTTTGAACTTAAAGATGAAATAAGGTTAAAAGTTTAAACAAGAACAAAGAAATGTCGAAAGGCTAAAAACTTGCAAAAAAGTAAATGAAATTTAAAATGACATGGACTTGAAGAATAAACAAGTAATTTAAAATGACTTTGAAATATAACTGGTGTTTAAACGTACATTGTTCCAAATACTAGACTCATTTTCTCTCACACTGGGTACTTAGAGCTTTTACAGGAATTTTGTACAAATTTTCACACACACATTCTAACCACAAACTATCCTATTTATACATAAACAAAATAACTGCTTAGAACGGAAAAACTATAACTAAACGACAAGTGTCAGCCTGCATGTAAATTTCTTCTCTGAAACCTCCATGTGTCCAACTGCCAAAGGTTACAACCTTTGAATTTGAATCTCTTCCTTGGTGACGAAACCTTGTAACTCTTCAAAACTGTCGAAACCCTTTTAAAGGAGAAAAACTCTTCAGCACTTGCCAAACCTTATCTTTTTTTAACAAACTTCTTCTGTCGAAGCCCTCAGTCACACACTCTCCAAACTATTCTGCCAGAACATTATATCTATTTCTGTCGAAACAATGAAACTTTAAAACCTTGTCAGTAATTCTTGGATTCTCCTCCTGATGCTATCCTTCGACAAAGATGACCTTAAAGCCTGAATTTTAATCTTGTCGAAATTATGGGTTTACACCACCGCAAGTTGCAAATATTGTTTTAAAAAATCTATGGTATATTGTGGCGGTTTGAATCGCCGCAATTTGCAAATATTTTTTTTAAAAAAAATTGCACTCAGTTTAGGATTTAGAATACCATCCATGACTGCCATAGTTGGTACTGCTTCCAGTTCCTCAAACTCACTGCAATAAATGTAGGCAAGACTTCATTACCTGAATACAAAGTATACAGAGTACAAAAATATATGACAATGTGTGTATACCTAATTTATCTGTCCGCTACAGAATAATAACTAACCGTTGATGTAAAAATCTTTTGATGGGGATAATAAAAAATTTCTAGGGAGAAAAAGAGGATAGTATGTTGGGAAGATATGCATAATCCATTGAAGTAGAATTACATGAGATAGAGATCAGACAAAACATGCAAATGAAACATGCAACGAAGAGAGATAAGCCATGGTGCATGGATATGAATATGATGTATGTAATAGGTGAGTTGAATGGGGCATGGCTAAGAAATAGAACATTTTGGATTAAACCAGCCCCACAATTCGTGGGTGATCAATCAGGTGTTGCTAGAAGTACGATATTACCTCTTTGTAGTAGACACCATTGACTTCGTAGGCACTTTGGTATATGCATTAAGGATCCTGAAAATTTATCAAATATAAGTGAATATAAAGATAGGATAAGCAGATGCACATGTGTGCCCTTTGAGGTGGGAATTTAATGATGATTTTATCAAATTCCAAATCAATCTAGATCCGGACTAACATCATCGACAAAAGCCATCGCTAACTATAACAACAACAATTTTGTTGACAGTCACTAACAAATTTGTATTTTTGTATGCCTTTCTAACAACAATAACAACAATAATGTATAATTCAATGCTCTATCTATCCACTAGTAATATCTTCAGTTTCACAGATAACTTACTAGGAAATATTTGAACTCTATTTTCTCATCCTAAGCATGCATGTCCACAAGTACAATTCTGATCATATTTTGCAGTTTTTAAAAGGAAATCATCACCGCAATAGAATATCAATGTAGATGAATGCATGGTTTTTCCCATTCTCAAATAAGTGATGATAAATCTTAGTGTGGGTGCATAGTGAAGTGTTAAAAATTATATATGTATCAAAATACATTTGCAATCCAAGGCAATGCTCAAAAGATTAGACATTAAAGTAAGTTATTGAACATACAAAAGCCAATTAGTGCAGTGTATATGTCACTAATGATATAACATCAACGAACTTCAGGATTCCTTGTCATACAAAACAAATACCACATTTTGGTCGGTAACCCTTAAGTTCAATTATCATCCATCACGAATCATTCAAAACCTAATAGATATAGTATATTGGTGTTTAACATTCAAAAGAAGAATGTTGAAGTACTTTTCACCATAAATTACTCTTTACTTCCTAGAAATATTTTCTCAAATATACTTGTATTAGCTAACTTTAAAATCCTACATTTAACACATCAAGTTTCAAAACATTACTAGCATGTTTGAATTTGCTTAAAATATAGGAAGTTATTGATTTTTCCTATTTCTAAATCTCTCTCATTCATGTGTTTATTATGAGAGGTTTTGAAAAAAAAATAAGCTAATCCGAACATGAGGTATTCTCTCTTGATTACTCAAAAACACTATAGAGTTAAAAACTTTTCCAAAACCTGAAAACAATACCTGCTAAAAAGATTTGCAATCTCTTCACATTCACGGGCATTATAGAACCAAATACCATTCACTTCTTGAGCAGCATTTCTATACAATAGATATGGAACCTGAACTTCATATTCGAAATCCCCCAGGAGGTTTTCCACCAAATTTTCGGCTTATGCCAACATGGACAAGGATTAAACACATGCATGGACATTATCAATGCTCCATCACCAACACATCAAGTATCACCAAAATATCTATTTTCATTCTTAAAACAATATCTAAAAGACATATTCACAACTTTTGCATTCTCAAAACTCTAAATATCAGTGTCATCAATAGATGATTGCAAAAAAATAACAAGATGTTGAAAAACTGCCATCTAAAATAGCAGATAGCGTTGCAGGAAAATAGTTGAAGTCGCACAGTGATTGAAATAAGTCAATTATGAGTAAAACGACAAGCTGCATGCAAAATGAAAAAGGGAATAGAGGAAATGCATAGTTTAAGTATTGAAAAGTTAGGGTGAACTTAAAAGTAAAACTTGTTGAATCTTAGTTTTTCTATTTAAAATTAGGTTACGTTAACTCAATTTATAATTCAGAATACAACTATTGTAGGTTACATTAATGGCAATCATCAATCTTCATGATATTCACACAATAAAGACAAACATTAAAAAGTTTTCAATCGTTAACCTTGCGTTCTCTAATTTTTTTAACCACATCACACATAGCATGTATATAATATCTAAGACAAAAAATAAAAAACTTTGAAAAAGAAAGTACGTCCTTGTTACAATTTCAACTCGTAAACCAAGGATTTGCACAATAGGTCTGACCATTTTCATACGACATGACAGAGAATAAAAAAGTAAAGAACAATACACTTGGAATGGAAAACAGAAAACTAGAGTGCATGACAAGAATTTAAAGTAGAAGAGGTTGTAATGAAGAGATCACATAATTTCAGTAGACTAAAGTTCAAAGGATAAGGGATTTTGCAAGGCCTTTATTAATACCTTCACGATACAACATCGTTCAAGTCTATAACTACAACCAGGTGCAGCACCCCAAGCTTGGGAACGCATATTGTTTCTCTGGGTGGAAATATAGCCTGACATAACACAAAATTAACATCTTTAGATTATCCAAATAGAGCTTAAATTGTAAAGCCGGGATATGGCTGCAATTGAGGGAAATCAACAGAACCAGCTAATTACTCACAATGAAGAAGAAAAGTATATATATCAACATTGTGCAGAAACAATTAATTAAGTTCCAAGAGGGTGCTTAGTGCAATAGATGTCACTTTTTACAGCTTAAATAAATATACAACTTAAATAAATAATTGGCAGGTAAATTTTGTCATAAGTCAAAATGAAATATAACCTATAAAATGGACTACTCACCTAAATTCGGTCATCTTCAACCTCATTCATTAGGTCTAAAATATCATAATTAACATCGTCTGGTAAAGGGTTAGATGAACTTGCATTGTCATGGGAAGTAGCAGTTGAATTCCCTTGAGGTTGCATATTTTCCACCGCAGGTTGTGCTGTCAGTCTTTGGAATACTTTGTCTAACTTGTCGTCTTCCTCAAAAGCAGCAATCACTGCAAAGAAGCAGGAAATAAGAATAAAACAGAACAACCCTGTAACTCTATGTAATGTTTCACTTGTACAAATTATTGTGCCTAAAACCTAAATAACTTGTGTACCTCTTGATCTTTCAAACCCCATTTGCACAACTCTTTCAATTGCATAATCTTTTGCTTGTTTATGTCTTTTCCTTTTCCTTGACTCGATATTATCCTTTGTGCTGATTAATGTAAGTTATAACATAGTTTAAAGTTGCATAGAATTCGGTTCAGACATGTTTTTACCTGTAAATCAGAATTGGTTTCTGGATTCGTCAAATCATCCAATGCTTTCTGAGTATCGTTTTCATTTCTTCTAAGGGCTTCAGCAGCGAGCTCCTTTTCAAACCTGCCAGAACGGCAGTGTCAAGTTTAACTAGAATAGTAAATGTGAAGTTTTGTGAAACACCTATATATTAATATTTTGTTATCCTTATCCAGTAAAGATCATGAAGAATAAATCGTAAGGATATGTTAGAAATGAATATATGTAATCATAGCTTCTATGACATAAATATTATAAGTGGTAGATAAGCAATGGATGATAATAGCCCCTAAAGCCTTCTTTTGATGCTATTATCCCAATATGCTCATTTTAAACCAGAGTAGTCTAGTCTATTTACAAATTCAAAACAAATGCATCCAATAGAACAAAAAAAATACTCACCCAATAGTGACCAATTCCTTCAGTCTCTCCAAATCCACGGCCTTTTTTAAGGGGGTCACGCCAAACTTCTTTTGCTCCCTGGAAGAAAGCTATTCATATACCGAGATAAAGAAAATAAAAAGTCAATAAACATCAAGTTGCACCCACCAAATTTCATTTCTTCTTTTTAAATCTTCCTCCCTTTTTTGCATTTTCTTTTCCTTCTCCTCAACAAGAAAATTGATGGCACCTCCAACATCTTGATTATTCATTCGCAATGCTATTTTTGCATTACGTTCATTGTAGCCCATGCTCACAACAAGTGATAAGGCTTCATCTGGCACTTGCAGCTGCAACACAAGAGAACATTGTATGAGAGTTGGGCTCATTATGAGTCTATTGCTGGCAATCTTATTTTACATTTTCAAAACAATGAATCCATGACTCGACCCTATAAGCTCTAAAGACTATTATATATAGGACCACTATCAACTATTGTGAGACCAAATAAGGAGACCAACAACTAGAATGTGCATAAATGTTGATTTTTATCCTACTCAAATTTATTACAATATGTTATAATACTTCAACCCACCTGAACAAACTTTTCCCTTGCAGAAGCTAATGCTTGCTTTGATTTTCCCAACAGGCCAGTATGAAATGCCACCACCCCTTCAAGAAGCTTTAGTCTCAAATGCCTATGTACAAATATTCAGCCAACTTAAAAATTAACAAACAAATACTGATAACTATTCTACTTTTAATTGCATCCCAGTAATTTGATTATTTCAAAGGCAACAAAAAGATAAACAGTCCACCAAAATAACTCACAATGCAAGTTCTGGATAGCGACCACCTTGTAAGAGTCTAAGGCGGAGAATCATTCCCATGAGCACGTCAAATTCCTTCCCTAGCCATTTCAAGGCGCAATCCAACTAAAAAAACACTACAGAATTAGTTAAAATTCATTTTATAACGAGTGAAAGTTGCAATATGCTTACGGATACGAAAGGAGATAAAAGAATCGGAGAAATCAGACTCCAGGGTTGGCACTACAAAGCATACCCTGATACAAAGATCTCGAACTAGTTGAATTGATTCTGAGGCAAGAAGTGAGGCGCGCTGATGAAACTGCCGAGTACAACGAAAGCACCGACTGCACGCAACCAATCGAAACGGAGAAAGAACAATGAAAATTAAGATTCCGTTAAATTGTAAGAAATGGAAGAATTGAAGCGAAGATAAGGACTTGCCGGACGGTGACGGGAGAGCGAGTTCTGAGGAGAAACAATGAGGAGGATTTGGGCTTTGTGATGGTGGATTTGGTTTGGGAGAACGCTGGTTGTGAGGATGATCAGAAACGAGAAGCCATTGGAGAAATTAGCGTCACCTGAATTTTTACAAAGCTAGGGTTTTGAGCTGAATTGGAAGAAACTGAACGCAAAAAAAAGGGTTTTTCGAAGGTTTTACATTTGTGTCCTTTTTCAATTTTTATTCTTCTCCTTGTTTCTTCTTTAACTTAGTATTTCATAATAACAAAAAAAAGAATGATTTAGTTAAATAAAATTTAGGAAGAAATTAAAGATATGTGTTTGTTTTTAGAAGTATCATAATAAAAAATTTTAATTATTTTATTGAACAAGTATGAGATACTAATTACTACATAAACCTAATCAAATGATAAAAGTCACTTTCCTCTAATTAAGAGAACATAGTTTCAAACTAAATCATGTCACACAATATAGAGAATAGATAATAGTTGAAAGAAGAGGGTAGAAGTGAAACCATGATCCTGGATGAATGTGAATCTCCGACTGTTTGAGAAGAATCTGGCACAGTGTCTCACGATGGAGAAGAAGAAAAAAAAAGTACTCAAATCAAAATCTATCTGGTTCATTGAAGATCATGAATGAAGGAGAGCTTGAAAATTTCTCTCAACCTTCGTTTCCAACTGCCTCTGTTGAAAAAAAGAGTATGTGGTCGACGATGAGGTTGTTTTAAACAAAAATATTAAGCTACATTGTCATGAAAATTATAATAATTATAATAATTATTTATTAAATTAATTAATAAAATTGAAAAGGTTGGAAAATAAAAATGAAAGAAAAAAGTGAAAAATTAAAGGAATAAAAAAAAGATTATTATTGGCTAAAATAATTGGGACAATTCGCCTTAATTGTCGCGAGTGTGGAAAGAGGCGGTTCTTTGGTAAGTGTTGCAATTATTTTATACAACATGCCTAAAAAATATGCGACGGTTGGCTCAAACTGTCGTGAGAACTGTCGTAGTTCAGAAACAAGGACGGTTTTTTTATAACTGTCGCAAAAAATCTACGACAGTTGACCCTAACTATCGTGACGACCGTCGCAATCCAGGAATAAGAACGGTTTTGTGATAACTGTCGCAACTCAAGTGTCGTAAATCTCTTTGTTTCTTGTAGTGAATCTTGGTCAAACAAATGATTTGCTCCAGTATCAGGTTATCAAGATATGGCAAAGATTCTGAATCAGGGTTTTGGTTCTCAGCAAGTCATTGTTTCATCAGTGTGCACTTAAGGTGAAGATTAGGGTTTCTCAATCGTTGTGTTTAAGATGAGCAACTATCGCTCAGTTGAGTTTCATTCGAGGCTAGCAGGTTCAATATATGTGCAATACCCTTTCAGGCCAAGTGTGCGTGCGATGTGATTTGAAATTCGAGGGGAGCTTGAATTAATCTTGATTAAACAGTTGTTTTATATCAAGTTATCGGGTTGTGGTAAAGGCAGTTTGTTGTGAAGTGGATAATCATCAAGGCTAGTTGAATTTCAATTAGGGTTTCGGTAAAGTGGCAGTGCAATTAATATCTCAAGTCACCTGTGTCAATGTCTATTTTGGAGATAAGTGTGGTTTGAATTCAAGCATTGGTGTGTGAGGGTCCAGATCATGGTTTTGTGCAAAGTTCAAGTTTATCTGATGAAGTTAAGATGTATGAGCCATCAAATTCAAGACATCAGTCAGTTACTTGAAGTTCTGATTATGTGGTTCATGTTCTTGTCGAGACCATTTCAAGATATAATCAGGATATGGTGTCATTTCTCATGGAATTGATTCGGGATTTCAATCCTTTCTGGTATGAGTTTAATGAAGAGTTCAAGATGCTGAAAATTTGGTTTCGAGGATAAATTGTTGGATCAAGTCAGAAGTGTTAGTTATTCAAAATTGTTTCAAGTGGTTCACTTTTGGAATTAATTCTTGGTTTAGTCGAAATTCAAAGATTCAATTACAAGTTTGCTTTCAAATTTCACTTATCTCACATCAATTTCAAGATTCAAATTCCACGTTAATTTCAAGTTTCAAATTCTATCAAATTCAAATTCCAAATTCATTAAAATTTAATTCAAATTTCAATTCAATAATTTCATTCAAGCTTGTTTCAATTCAAGAAAATTCAAGTTCATTTTTCCAATTTAGATTCAAGCTCATTTCAAAGTTTCAATTTCAAGTGTCAATTATAATCAATTCCAATTCCAATTCCGTTTCAATTCATCTCAAGTTTTCAATAATCAAAACCATTCAACATTCAAAACCAATTTAATTTCAAGTGTCAATTTTACTTTCAACTTAATCATGTTTCAATTTCATATTTAAGTTCAAGCATTTTAGTCAATCTCAAGTGACAATTGCAATTTCAAATCAAAGTTTCAACCAAAGATCCAAATAACAAATTCAAAAACCCAATGTCATAATTTTTGTCCACCATGATAAAAGTTACAAAACAAAAATCTAAATAAATGGTGCGAATTTAAAACAATACAAGCATATACCAATACAAGACATTTCTATGAGCTACCACACAAATTCATAAACAACCCAAGCACCAAGACCCCACATAACTTTCAGCAGTGCCTCCTACGTGATATACAAACAACTTCATACAAGCTACCTAAATTTTCACCTCCCACTATTTTCTACCAAGCAGCGATAAAACTGTACGTGACCTTCAAAAAGCCAACCCCTTAAAACCTTCAAAGGTCACAACCCATTCACGCAACAACGTAGGAGTACGTTTCTATTAAAACCTGCAAAACCTACGAACAGTATGTTGGAAATAAGACCTTTTGTGTTTAGGAAAAGTGTGTGGGAATATTAGGGGCTTAAAGAAAAACTTGATAGGTAGAAGAATTATTTATGGAAGAGAGAACTTTGTATTTTGATTGATGCTAAAGTGTAGAATTACATATCTATTTATAGTACTCTAAGGAGAACTCTAGACACACTAATTCTAGAGAGTTATCAACTCTAGGAATTCCAAGAGCATTCTAGAGAATACTACAACCTTAAGAAATATCTAGACACTCCAAACATTACAAGAGTTTTCTAGAAACATTAATTAAAATTACCTAAGTCCAAAACAACTAAGCCCAAAAATCCAAATAATATTTTAGGCCCAAATCAAGTTTAATCTTTCAACATCCCCCCTTAAACTTGATTTGTGACTCCAAGCATACTCCTTTGCTTTATGAATGTTTCCAACTTGAGTGGCTTGGTGAAAATGTCGGCAGCTTGATCTCGAGACATCACATACTTCAACCTCACATCCTTCTTCTCGATGCATTCTCTTATAAAGTGGTAACGGGTGTCGATGTGTTTACTTCTTTCATGAAATACAGGATTCTTTGCCAAAGCAAGTGCTGATTTATTATCAACACATATTTCCATAGGATCTTCTTGTGGCATTTTTAACTCTTTCAACAAGTTCCTTAGCCAAACTGCATGGCAAACACATGATGTAGCGGCAACATATTCGGCTTCACAAGTTGACAGTGTGACGATAGGTTGTTTCTTTGACATCCAAGTGAAAGCAGTATCTCCCATAAAGAATACAAAACCAGTAGTGCTCTTTCTATCGTCCACGTCTCCACTCCAATCGCTATCACTATAGCCAACAATTTCATAATTGTTAGAAGAGTAATAGTGTAAGCCAAAGTTTGTTGTACCTTTGATATATCGAAGGATTCTCTTTGCCGCCTTGAAGTGAGTTGTTGTTGGAGCTTCCATGTAACGACTTACGACTCCTACAGCATAGAGAATATCCGGCCTTGTACTTGTCAAGTAACGTAGACTTCCAACCAAACTTTTGTAAAGAGTTGGATCCACAATCTCTCCATTTTCATGCTTACTCAACTTGCTGCCACATTCCAACGGGGTGCCAACCGGATCATCCATCTTGAACTTCTTAAGGACTTCTTTTGCATAGCCTTCTTGGGTGATAAAAATTCCTTTGTCTTCTTGCTTTACTTCAATGCCAAGATAATATGCCATGAGCCCCATATCTGTCATCTCAAATTCATTTGACATGTCTTTCTTGAACTCTTCGAACATGCTTAGATTGTTCCCAGTGAAGATCAAGTCATCAACATATAAGCACACGATCAAAATATCTCCAGTTTGCGCTTTAATATAGAGTGCATGCTCATATGGACACTTGATGAAATTCTTGTCTCAAAAGTACTTGTCGATTCGAACATTCCAAGCTCTCGGTGCTTGCTTGAGTCCGTACAACGCCTTTTTCAACTTGAGGACTTTTTCTTCTTGCCCTTTTACTTCATATCCTTGTGGTTGCTTGATATAAACTTCTTCTTCGAGAAAACCATTCAAGAAGGCCGACTTCACATCCATTTGATAGAGCTTCCATTCATTCTGGGCTGCCAAAGAAATTATCAGTCTAATAGTTTCAAGACGAGCAACGGGGGCAAATACCTCATCATAGTCAATTCCTTGTCTTTGACTATAGCCTTTTGCCACCAGTCTTGCTTGGTATCTCTCCACGTCTCCTTTTGCATTCTTCTTCGCCTTGTACACCCATCTTACTCTGATTGCTTTGTGTCCTCGTGGAAGTGTAGTAAGTTCCA